TATCTTGGTATTTTCCTGGAGCATACAAGTGCCTTTGTTCCCAAAAGGCTCATGTGTAACAGACAGCAGTGTCTTTGGGTGCACACTTTGGTACCCACACCATGTGCTTGGTTATTATGGCAGAGATGCTCATACTGGCAGTACACACAATGGTCAGACATTGCCCATGGATGCTTCTCATAAGAAGGAATGGACACTGATGCTATATCTCCATCCATATGCAAAAGGAAGGCATGGACAGTCTGTTATCTTTTGGAATGATTTATCCATATATCAGGAGATACGGAGCAGGGCTTACAGATAAGGGCTGGCACAAGTTGTTGAATACAGAATGATTTTTGTTTCATAATTCATGAATTAAGAGTATCAAATAATGTTAGCAGGTGCCAAATTTAAGGAAATTATCTTCTCACACAGTACGTGAAGCTCATGACCAGAGGTCCTTCTGGCTACCATATGTTTGTGCAGTTCATGGCAAATTCATGGAATGAAAATCTATCAGGAGCTATTAACCACAGAGACACCGGCTTTTGTCCCTGAGCAGTCTCAGCCTCCAGCTGCCTGCGAGAGTGCAAGGAAGGCACCACTGTAACCTTGCTCTGATCTTCTACTCTTAGCTACACATCAGAGGACCTATATGAGGTATTTCAGCATAGTGTGTAGTGTCTTCCATAGCTCTTCAACAATGCTGCCTCTTGCAGGAAACAGCACTTGTCCTTCTCTGCATCTGTTTAACAGCTGAGCTGTACTACCCACCTGTCCTCAAGGGTCTACTGAAAACAAGCAGAAATGACTCATACATCTGTACACTGAGCACTACTACATCTGTCTGTGGTTGGGCCCTCTTGCTTCTACAGATAGACACAGTTCAGGTGTTTCTGTTGACAGCATTACCATGTGGAGACAACAGTGGATAATTTAGACTACTGAGGATTTGTTCAGTTAAACTATTCATTCCCTTTGGTGGTTTGCAGGAATCATATTTAGGTAGAAGTTTACTGTATGATCAGTTGTGGTAAGCTGAATGTAACTTCTGCTAGGTCTACCTTCATCGAGGGTGAACCTAAAAGTTGACTGAGAAGTGTCACCTGAAAATGCTGGTATCTCCAGCTTGTTTTTCTTGATTTAAATATTGTCTGCTAGGTAAAAATGTAACCACTAAAATTCAAATTACATAAAGTAGCTAATAAGACCAATGGTATGCTAAGGCTGCACTTACTGTTTCACATCATGACACTTCCATGTGCTTCATCTTCAAAAACAACTCTGGGAATAAGAGCTGAAAGACAGAGAAGGAAAATAATGGGGGGAAAAAAGCTGCATCAAAATGAAGAAATAGTTCACATGGCCATGAAACTGATGTTGCACAGAAATTCTATCAGTGAACAGCTGCCATAAGTTTTCTCATTGCAGGCCCCAGTTCTGCATCTCCACTCAGTACTGTGCTGGGAAGAGAGCTGCAAAAATAAAGCTTAAGTATTTCCACAACCGTAAAGGTCCCCACCACCACCACCTCTTTCTATCTCTTTGAAGAGCCATCAAGCCACTTGTAGTGCTGTCTGTTCTGGGAGATGGAGGTGATTTCTCCTGTTAGTAGCAAAACATCCGGTGCTACACAGGTGCTTGTAGGAGCAAAGCTCTTTGTAAATCAGTCATGAAATAAGACTGTTAAGTTAGCCAACCCTGGTAGTAAACCAGTTATGAATTTCTTCTTGAATATGTTTTGTTGCTCTTCAGGAATAAACACTGCTGAATAACCATGACTTTGTATAAATAAATACACTCCCTCCTACAAGCTGCATGAAATGTTAAAACTCCAGAATGGACTATAAACGGATGCATAAATCTTTAGGGTCCATGCATTTCAATCCATCTATTTAAAACTGAACGTGGAAGGATCACAGTATTTATTCGCATTTTCCATGCCCTTTGTGCAATTTTTTCTGACATCAATTTCATGTGTGGAGCAGCACAAAATAGTGTTCCAGTATATATTGCAATTGTTCTGTTTCTTGGCATGTACCATCACATTGAGTTGAAAGTAAAGCATTACACAAGACAGCTTTTTTTTGGCATAACAGGTCACCAAAGTAGTGGAATGCTTCAGTCAAAACTCCAAGTGTGAGACACATTGCTGAAATGCAAGTAGTCTTTCAGGAAAAGCTGAGACCTTTCTTCATCTTTATACATGAGGAGTCTTGCTCTAAAGCAGTTAACTACAATGAAAAATATGGCACACTTTTCTCATAACTGGCCATGAATTGTACTTGGATTACACATGTTCAAGTGAAGAATAAGAGCCATATTTCTCTCACAAGCAAGGGGGAAAAAAGTCTGACAGTATGTAGATGAGTGTAATCTACTTGTTGTTTATAGACCCAAAGGATGTCTCAAAGCATTAAAAATCCATGTGGTATCCAAGAGTGGTATATTTTGCACTGAGATATGTGATTTAGCTGAAAGCTGTATAAAATCTGTAAAATGGCATATAGCCAAAAAGTACCCTATTGCCTGTACATTCGAGCAAAGCCACGTGTGCTTTTCTTGCACACATGAAAAATAGATGATCCTAAAATCTGCTTGAGATTCACAAACTTCTGACAGGAACGTGTGGATAGGCTAAGTCTGCCAACTTTTGCTCAAAACAGACCTGAAAATACATAGACCTGAAAGAAACATTGTTCTTCCACGGGTAGGGAGAAACTCCAGCTTCATACATAGTAAGTGCATATAGGCTGTGTGGAATAAGCAGCATCCTTTTCTTCTGGGTTTGGTCTTGCAACTGGCAGCTGGGCTCCCATGCCTTTTCTGGTGGGGACTTTGGAATCAGATGCGCTCTTTTGACAAGAATTGCCATAGAAAATAGGTGACCCCTATGCTCCTTTCTTTCTAGTACTGGCTAGAACCTTATTTAATCTACAAAAGTTGATCAAGTAGACTTTTTGACTATGTTTTTCTAGGAGCTAACACTGATGGTAGTATCTTGCAGTAGCTGACACATGGGGTGGCTCTCTCAAGAACTGTGCAGAGTGAATTTTTTTATATTCTGTACACGGGTTTTTCATAAACATGTGGCATTATGGTTGAAGTAGTAAGGAGACTAGCTCAAATGTCTCCTGTACGTTTGGTGGCATTTGTTCTTGGTGGCTGTGGAATCTTATCCTATATTTGTGGTGCTGACTGCAGGAAAACTTTTATGAGTATCAGCTAGACTGTAAGAAGCCTTTTTTTCATTGGTATTCTTGACTACAATTACCTTCATAAAGCCTTTAGACACAAGTGATAAAGTATTTTAAAGACAAATATCCACAAATTCAGTTTTATAGTCTTTGAGTAGACAGAGTGGAAGGAGAATGGGTGTTGTGTATCCATGGCTTGTATTGCTGAGGAGGTTTTGCTACACTCAGCTGTACCATTTGGCTTCTCCAAAGTTCTGGGAAATCTGGGAAACTGCAAGCTTCCAAGAGCAGCACAGCCAAGATATACTACAAGTGTGAATAACTGTGGTTGCGTAATTCATCACTAGTACATCACCTCCTAGTCAGGCACAGCAACAGAAGGCATTACTCACAGACATGGCTATGTGGGACTGGGATCAGGTGCAGTCTGGCCCCAGGCCTCAGCTGCCAGCTACTGCTGCCCAGTCCTAGCCTAAGGAGTGCAGTGCAGAGCCAGGGCAGACCCTGCTCTTGCTTTGAGATCTTCAGAGCATGTGAAACACCTCAACCAGCTGCTTTTCATCTGGTAGCTGATCTCCTTTAAACAGTAGTACATGTGGCATGACCATGTGTATTGGGTAAAACTGTATCAGTTTGACAATACGACAATATGATCAGTTTGACCAATATGACACTGAAACCAAACACATAATCCAAAGGATCTGTACCAATGGCTGTTGGTCTTTGGCACTTGATTTAGAGATGGAGAATTGGGAGCCAGGGTGCATATGTTGTGACCCCAGTATCTCACTGAGAAAATGCTGGTTGCAATTTGTACATCGCAGTAGCATAATGCTGCCTGCGTGGCAGTGAACCCATAATTGCATTATTTAGAAGTAGTAGATTTTGTGTCGTGATGAGATGAGATAGGATGGAAACATCAGGGAGTACAAGAATGAAGGTGTCAAGTTGCCTAAGTGTTGAAGTATAGCTGGGAATAACATGCTACCCAGAGATTGTGTGTGCAGTGTTGGATTAATAGGGCAGAAGAATGTATGCTTTGGAGCTAGGAACTACATGAAAAAACGATTGCATCTCAGTCTCTATAATTCAAAAGAAATTGCTGGAGAGGGTAATGGAGAAATGGGGCTCATGGGTCTAGCTGTTCCTTTTGGAACTCTGACAGATGTACTTTAACACAAAAATGTTTTTATAAGTAAAGTTTTCATATCAACAAGGAATTTCTATTTTTTTAAATACCAGTTAGCACAGCTAAAACCATAATACTGTGCCTTAAGCAGATTGCCCTTCAGACTGTTGCAGGTTCATAGTTCAAGCATCATGTGGTGCCAATTACAGGACCTGTGGTGGAGCTTCTGTATTCTAAAGTCAGAAAACAAGTACAAAAATAGAGGGGCTCCTTTCTCTTTCCAGGCAGTGCCTGTTGGCTGAATGGCTGGAAAAAAGGCAGGGTAAATATAAGTCAGAACGGTGTGCCTGGGACACGGTCAATGCAGTGTTATATGGCACTCTGGGGAGAACAGGGGCCATAGCCGGGCTCCTGCTGCTGTATTTAATGGCACTCTGTGAATGCCAGACACACTTGCAGTATCATCTTAGGCATGAGTTATAGTGACAGGAGAGACAGATCAGAGAGGGCCTGGCTGTGAGTCTGAGAAAAACTGGCCTCACATTCCCTGTATGGTGGGGTTAAGCTGGTCTCTAAATAAAGAGGCCAGCGGAGCCTTTATGATCTGTAGCTGTGCAGAGATGAAGGTGTGAAAAGGAGGGAGGAGGGGGAGGAAAAGAAGAGTAAGACAATGAGAACAGAAACAGTGGGCCATGGTAATGGGTAAAATAGAGCAGTGAAACCACACAGAGGAGCCAGGAAAGTGGGAAGAAGAAACAAGGAGAGGGAGCAAGAAGAAAGCAAGAGAGAGTGGAACATTCCCCTGGTGAGGCTGTGTGACTGTGGTACCTGGTCAGCCAGGACATCTTTCATTTTTAAGCACCTCAGTGATCAGCCAAGCAGAGAGCTGAGTTTCAGCAGGCAACAAATAATGAATATGAGAAAGAAGAAACAGGTAAAAAAGAAAAAGGAAGAGGTGAGAGGGGAAATAGAATATGATAGTAAATGGAATAACAGAATGGCACGAGAAAGTGAAATAAAGAGCTAAAGGGAAAGTGGAAAGAGAAAAATTGATCTGGCTCCAGGTGCTCAGCCAGCAGATGCTCTGTAAGCCCACAGAAGGTGAAGGATAAGACTCAGTGCAACCACTAGCAGGCAGTAAAAATTAGTATTTCCTTTCTGCTAGGTGCTGCTAAGGGCTTGATTAGTCAATAGGAAACAGTAGGCACAGGGATTTTTGTGGATCTTCATCAGAGCATTAGCACATACTGGAATGTGCAAATTGATACCCTTTTAATTGTAACAAAGGCTTTTGGACTACAGGCAGGAAGACAAGGTCAGTACAGACAGCAGCGGGTAGAGCAGGGAGCAGAAGGGGCACAGCAAATCCTGTCTTACAGCTTATGGAGAAGCTAGATAGGAGTTACTTAAGCATAAAATATTTCGGGTCCTCATGGGGATACAAAGCAGTAGTACTGCTGTATAGCTCTGTGCGGACCCCTGAAAGCATGGTTGCATCAAATATGTCAGCCAGTATTTTTAAAGAGCGAGTCCTACATCTTTTAACCTAGGGGTCGAAAAGGAGGTCGTATTTTCGGGAAAAGCAGACGTCCAGCAGGGCTCCCACGCTTACTTACTCGGGCCCCTGAGGACACCGTGCTGTTCCCACGCGGGGCCTCCCTGGGCACTCGCTGCTGCCGCGGGTGCGGAGCTTCGTCCCGCGAGTGTGGGGCTGCGTCCCGCGGAGCGCGGCGGGGGCAGGGGAGGGGCCGGGCCAGCAGCCGCCCCCAGCCCCGCGCTCCTGCCCGCAGGGCCGGCCAGCTCCCCCCC